CAGAGCCGCCGCCGCCCGCTCCCCGCCCGCTCCTGCCCCCAGGCTCGGCAAACGCCGCCGGGACAGGGCGCGACCCGCCACCGGCCGGCTGGTTTGGGGTGGGCACCGTCAGCCCTGGCCGAGGGCTGCCGCCCCGCACCCGCGGCGCGGTGTAAGCCAGAACGTCTTGCTAACGTTTTGGTTTTGTCTTGGCTTCTCGTCTTTTACGGTAACGGCGGCAGCCGGCGCGGCGATGAGCCCCCCAGAGCGTTGGCAGGGGCCGCGCTCCCGCCGCCAACCTGCGTCTCCGAGGTGGCCGTGCAGTGCCGGTATTTACAAACCTGAGTTGTGTTTCCTCCTGCCTGTTGCCCCCGCGGACCACCGTGGACTGACTGACAAGCGACATGAAACTCTTCCTGAACCGCCGCTGGAATTCCTTATTTTTTATTATAAAATGGCTGGGAAATACCGAATCTAGACGTTTTGTAGTGCACAGGCAGACGATATGACAGAAACAGTGAATCAAAGCTAACTGCTACATTCTGCAAGTAGGCTGTTCGCTTTGAAGCTTACAACACATAATTGAAATGTGATTAGTTCCTTTGCTGATTAACACTTGGAAGAAACCTTCACCTAAAATTCTTATTCATTGTAGCCGACTGTGAAAGTCAAAAGAGGCCTTTGCATAATTATTTTCTCTCTTCCTGCAGATTATCTCGCTGCCTCAGAAGAGGGCTGTGGAAAGGCCAGAAGAATATGTGCCTCAGAGCGAGAGCTGAAAATATTACATTTTCTTTTCATGTGCTTTCCAGCTACAAGTATGCCTGCTGTTCTCTTTCGTAATCTTTTTCCTTTCTGCCTCTTTCTGTGCAGTCATGTCTTAATTGCAGCTGTACTAACACTGACAAAAATACTGAGTTTTACCTATTTACTAGCACCTTTTTCATCACTGGAGGTCATTCTACAAGATAACTGGTTTGAGAATTTACCATAATTTTAGCCTATTCCCTTCTTCAAAGCCACCAAAAGGAGAGAGGAAGGGAGCAAAACAAATAACTAAATGGGTTTTAGGAGAGGAAAATGAGGGAGACAGAACAGGCAAAAGAAGGTGGGTAAGAGGTAGAACAGAGCTGCCTGGGAGGGAAGCCTGAACACAACCTGACCAAATGCCACTGTCTGATGCTTTGAATTCTCTCTATAGTCGGTGCAGTTGCAGTTATCTCGGCCATTTGCCTGGTTTTGGCTGGGTTAGAGCTATATTTTCATCTTAGTAGCTAGAATAGTGCTATGTTTTGGATTCAGTGTGGGATTTGCTATGAGAAGAATGTCGATAATGCACTGATGTTTTCAGTTGCTTCTGAGAAATGAAGGCCTTTTCAACTACCCATGTCCTGCCTGTGTGCAGATGCACAAGAAACTGGGAGGGAGCGCAGAGCCAGAGCACCAGACCAAAATTAACAAATAGAATATTCCATATCATACAATGTCATGCTCAATGTATAGATGAGGGTTGGCCTGGAAGCTTGTTCTCTCTTCTGGGATTGTGGTTTCAGGACTTTCTCTCCTCTGGGATCACTAGCTGGGAACGGGCTGGGCATCAGTTGGTGAGTGGTGAGCAATCTCATTGTGCATCACTCATTTGTATATTCTATTATTACTATCATTATTATAATTATTAGTTTAATTTTATTTCCATTATTAAATTATTTTTATCTCAACCTATGAGTCTCCTTAGCTTTACCTCTCCAATTATCTCCCCAGCTGCCTGGGCAGGAGAGGGTGAGCGAGCAGCTATGTGGTGTTTGGCTGCCGGCCAGGTTTAAACCACAACACCATCTCAGCCAAGTCACAACTTGAGTGCTCAGCTATTCAGTTCCTAACTAAACATTTTTTTAAGCCTAATTATTCCTACCAAAATTACTTCATCCTAATATAACTGTACTGTACCATAACAGTTTTAAGCTGTAAGTATGAAGGAAAAAAATGTCCAGTGAGAGCACAAGGATCCACATTTGAGATTTCTCTGGGAAAGCACTTGGCAACTTTCTTATCCTCTGGAGCAGCTCACTCTCTCGCAGCAGGGGGGCAATACAGAGATGACCATTTTTTCCTGAAGAAAGGCAAAATACTGCAATAAGGAAAGACAGGGGCTTAAATTTTTCCTTGATACAGGGTGTCTCTGAACTGAAAATTAACAGGCCCTGCACAGATGCATCTGATTTGTTCACAAAAAAAATGGCAAGTGGCCTGTTGTCACTCTAGCCCTATTACTGGTTTGGTTTTTTCATGGCACTACAAGAGTACCAGCCACTGCGTAACCTATAGGAGAAAGTGCAGAACTAAAGTCTGCACCTGCTTTTCACAAACTACTTGTTTTAAAACAACAGACACAAATAGCAATACAGAAGCCTAGGGAAATGTGGCAGTACTAGTTAGCATCTTACCAACAGTTAAGAAGCTTTTTAATATGCATTACAGTAAACGGAGTGGCAAAACTTGGGTTGTCCTAGACATCATCCAGACATACTTCTGTACCCATGGCTGCACTTGAGAAGGTAAGATACAAGGCTTAGGAAACCATCAACAGAATAATAGTTGAATCTCCCAAATTAAGATTTTCCAAACCTGTAAAAGCAGCAGGGAAAGGCAGAACCTCCTGTCCAGAGCTCAAACCAAAAGAAAGAATAAAGAAAAACAGATCTAAGGGAGAAAAGGACTCAAGGGTTATTTCTTCCTTCATATAGGAAGCCTCCTAAATAACTCCTTCCTAAAAGAGAGGTTTCCTGTGTCATTAATCATCATCTGAGGCTGTACAAAAACATTTGGAAGCTGTCCATCATAGCACTTTTTCCACCACACTTGAGATAGCAAAACTAAATGCAAATATAACATCCTACGTATATATTTAGCATACGTGTGTTGCATTTTTACTACAAAGCCATCTGTCTTCTCTGAAGCAAGCTGAAGCCAAGCCCCTTTCCTGAAATAGGCCCTTAAGAAAGAAGGGTCAAGTGAACAACAGCAGGTAAGTTAGGACTGGGAGGTATTTACCTCCCAGTTCAGATAAAATGGAGGCTGTTGTTTGTTCAGCACATAAGTGGATCATTTAGACAAATGTTTTCTGAAGAACTATGACTCCAGGGCAGGAGCAGACTTAAAAGAGGGATTCTTCAGGATGGCCAGGAACAAGGACAGCTTGATAGCTGAGAAGGGTGAACTGGAAGCGTTAAACATCAGAACGAGTGAACTGGAAGCTTAAAAAGAGGCAGGTTGGATATGAAGGGTGGGGAAAAAAAAAAAATCCTTAATTTTCCTTGTCTGAAAACTGAGACATGTCTCAAGAGTCTGTCCCTTCTAGGCTGGGGTCAAATGCCAGGTTTGTTCGGCATTTACTTCATCCTGTGTTTTACCATCTTCTTGTTGAATTTGCTGGAGAAATAAGATGCTTTCCTCCAGTTTCATGAGGGTTGCATTTCCCTTCATCTTAGTAGATAGCAAAATTCTGTTAGTGATTTGCAGCTGGTTGGATTTTCTGGTGGAATGAAAGACTTCCCAGTGGTGACAAGAAACTGCTTTTCCTTTGTTAGCAGAATGTTTGGAAACAGCAGGCTTCAGGAGATGCATAAATTAAGTCAAGTCTCAACAGCATGTATATGTCACTTCAGGCATGCTTCTGTTTACACAGGATGGAGTAAAAGTTCTGAGGTGTCAGTGAAATGCATACCACTACAGAAATGAGGATGCTTTATTTTCAACACAAATAGCTAATTTGAAAGTACAGGGCGAGGAGGAGGAGGGGAGCAAGAGGAAAGTTGATACAAGTGACATAAAACACCTGATCCTGGAAGTGTCTTTGGTTAAAGACTTGGGAGGTATCTCCCTTGTCTGTTTTGTGAAAAGGGTTTATTTTGTCTCTCATCCTTTTTGGCTGCTTTTTTTACCTCTCATTATTCACCAGAACTTGTTGTCTGACATTGTGCTCACCAAGATTGCTCCAGGTGACGTGTTTTGTTTGTCTGCACAAGACTGGAACTATAGTGGTTTCTGACAGTCAGGTTCTAAAGTGCCTGTGTAGATGCTCTTAATATTAGGGGGGAAAAAAAAGGTCTTTTCTCCATTACCTATAGGGAACATTTTTCTGGTATCCCTCAGCTGTGTAGCCTGAATGTCACTGTGTACATCTGCTCACAGGTATATGTCATCTGCCCTATATACAGAGCAATCTGTCTTTTAGGGTAGAAGCTGCTATTGCAACAGAGCTTCACACTCCGGAGGGTTGGTAACTCTATTGTCTTCATACAAAATGCTGGTTTGTACTGTCCATCTCCATAGTTAAGAGTATTTTTGATAGACATGTAGCTTGTATTTGGTTACATTAGGAAAATGATAGAAAAATTTGACAGGTTTTTTTCATCTGGAACAATGAAACTAGAAAGTGATTGATATGGTGAAGGATGTTCTCAGTATTTCTACAAAGCTTGATCTCCAGCTACTGTGTTTTCATGCTAAACAGTGATTCAGGATAAAAAGTAATCCATGTACACTTCAGTCCTGAGAGCGCATATTAATTTTTATTAAGATTCCTGTGACACTGAATATTACATTTGTAATATAGTAATGGATAACACAATATCAATATATTCATATTATGTTGTATTTTATATAGTTAAAGGCATATGCATCAGCTGGCACACTTTTTTTTTTTTTACTTTTGATGCTCTCTGCTGGTTTCAAGTGGCTTTCACTCAGACCAGCTCCTGCCCTTACTCTCCATTCATCAGGTTCTGCACAGGGGAATCCCTGTAAGATAACCCCCCTTGTATGATATTAACTGTCAGTTTGAACATCTTGTTCTGCTAATCGTATGTCTAAATGAAAGGCCATCTGTCCTGTTCACAGAAAAAAAATCAAACAAAACCAGACTGAAATGATGTAACATGAGTGGAGAGGCAATCAGAAACAGTGATGCCTCCAAGACAACATGTGAAATGTCATTTCTAGGCCTTTTATGGAATCCAACCACAAAGCTAAATCTGTGGACAGGCAATAAAACAGCAAAAGAAGTCTTGCTCAGAAGGTACTCAACTATGGTGGTGTGAAGTTTTTACAGAGGCTGGTATCAAAGTTCCTTGGCCTTTAAACTGGGTATCTGTGCATATCTAGAACTAGCCTGTCTGAGCAGTTCATCTTGCCTACACTGACTCCTATCTAGAAACTACATGTTTCTTTCTGTGTCCCTAAAAACTTAATGAGTTAGGCAATTTCAGAGCTTGACTAACACAGCAACTGTTTTCTACAAACTGTAGCTGTCAGTGAAGGAGAGACAACTGGCCCAGTATTCCCCAGAAAGTGCCACCAGCTGCAGTCTGTATGGCACACACTTAACCTCTTTAACTCAAAGGGCGTTACTGGGGAGCAACAGAAAATGTCCAAGATTAAACGTGAAACAGAGACTGCCAAAAAGCCCTGCCACTCTGTAGTCTTGTGGTTATGACATCTACCCAAATGAACGCTCCCAGAACTCAACATAAATTCAATCCAGGAACTGTTAAACACAAATGTAGGCACTGTTGTAGGAGCTAGCACTTCGGTGCAGTCCTTCGGTTTTCATGGATGGGTGAAAAGCCAAGGAGCAGCGCTTACCGTTAGAAATACTCAAACCACCCGATTACTAAGAGAAGACAAAGGAGCCTTTCATCCTTACAAGTCACAGCAGCAGTACATACAGTAACAGTACGCAGTTTGCTCACCAGATGAAGGCCTGGAGGCCGCTCTCCTGCCCTGCCACGCCACGCCCTGCCCGTACAGAACCGAACCACATCCAGTCCCGCCCCAGCCCGGGAAACCCGCCCCAGCCCGGGAAACCCGTCTGTCTGTCTGTCTGTCTGTCTGTCTGTCTGTCTGCCTGTCTGTCTGTCTGCCTGTCTGTCTGTCTGTCTGCCTGCCTGGGCGCAGGCTCCGCTGTGCGGCTCCCTGCCCCACCACATCCCCGC